CAAGAATATTGAATCCAAGAAGATCTTAATCCAAGAAGATAAGATTAGATAAGCTAAGATAAAATAAAATAAGATAAGATAAGATAAGATATATTTTATTGCTAAAAATACGCATAAAAGTTACAGACAAAAAACTATTACATTTGTATGCATTATAGCAATTAGGAGGAGAATGACTTTCACAGAAGATCTCAATCCAAGAAGATCTCAATCCAAGAAGATCTCAATCCAAGATTCGAATCCAAGAGCTGATCCAACCCAGGAAGATCTGAACCAAGGAAGAAATGAATCCAAGAATATTTGAAATGAAAAGGATCAGAATAAATGAATATCTAATATCCAGAAAGATCTGACTACAGAAGGTTCCTTAAAATAAAATAAAATTCCGAAATTTTTAGTTTGGTCTCTTTCATCCAAACTGAGCCCAAATAAATTCAAATAAAGTTGTCATACAAGTTTATCTTTTAGAACTTTGTCTTTAAATTAAAATTTTGATGTTAATGATGCTTCAAACCTTACAGAGTAATAAAATAGCTGTTAGTTCCACATTTTTGAAATTATATTTCGGTCTGGGTTGATCCTGGGTTGACCTTTTTCAGTTTTTAAAATTTTTTTCTGTCATGAAGATTCAAATAAACTTTAAAGAGCTTATCTTTCATGAGTTGATGATACATCTATTTATAAAAATCTGAATCCTTGAGACCTTGAAATCCTGAAATATTGAATGTTTAATGATTTATTGATTGAGCTCCTCGTGTTCCAAGGGTACATATATTATTCAAAATCATCAAATGCCAAAATCCGTGCATTCAACCTTCAATCAACCTTCCTTCAATCCAACTTTAAAATCAGTTATTAACTATTTAAAGATAAAATTCAAACCCTTACCGTTTTACTGAAAGCAAAATAAAATGAAACCTTTTAGTATTTTTGCTTAGAAGCATATTTTGCATAAATCAAAATAAAAAATTTAATCTTAATTTTAATCTCGCAAATAGTGAAAATTAAAAAATTCTGTGTGCTCTAAATATGTCCCTATTTGTTTGTTCCTTTTTACTTTCTTTCTTACTTTTGATTTTCCTTGGCCCAGGGGCGAAGTGGAGGTTTAGCCAAGGGGGGGGGGGTGAACTTTTGGCGAAATTTATTTGTGTGCACCCGTTGGTGTGCAACGGTTGGTGTGCACCCTCTAAAAAAACAATATTAAGAAAAAAAATAAATGCTTAAAATCTATATTAATTTAATTGACTATTAGTCATCTTACCATGATTACCAATGAAACCATTTTAAAAACTAGAAGTAAAAGAGAAAAAATCTTTACAAAAAATATATTTTATTTTTTGAGTATATCATATATATATATGGTAGATAGATAGAGAATGGTAGATAGATAGAGAATGGTAGATAGATAGAGAATGGTAGATAGATAGAGGATGGTAGATAGATAGAGGATGGTATATAGATAGAGGATGGTAGATAGATAAAGGATGGTAGCTAGATAGAGGATGGTAGATAGATAGAGGATGGTAGATAGATAGAGGATGATAGATAGATAGAGGATGGTAGATAGATAGAGGATGGTAGATAGAGCAAGGTAGATAGATAGAGCATGCATAGTATTAGATAAAGTATTGCAGATAGAGATAAAGGTAGATAGATAGAGGTTGGTAGATAGGTAGAGGATGATAGATAGAGGTTGGTAGATAGGTAGAGGATTATAGATAGACGATGGTAGATAGATAGAGGATAGTATATAGATAAATAGTTGCAGATAGATAGAGGATGGTAGATTAGAACAGTATGGTAGATAAATAGAGGTTGACAGATAGATAGAGGTTAATAGATATATAAAGAAAGATAAACAGAGGTTGATAGATATATAAAGGTAGATAGATAGATAGAAAGGTTGGAAGAGGATGAAGAGAGACCAGGTGTATATATTATATACTCAGGGTGTACGAAACCTCCGAAGTTTAGTCTTAGTCTTTCATCCGACACCTTCACATGCTTTCTCCAGGATAGATATATATATATATAAACCTTCACATACTTTCTTCAGTATAGATATATATACCTTCACATACTTTCTCCAGTATATATATGTACCTTCACATACTTTCTCCAGTATAGATATATACCTTCACATACTTTCTCTAGTATAGATATATACCTTCACATACTTTCTCCAGTATAGTCATATACCTTCACATACTTTCTTTAGTATAGATATGTACCTTCACATACTTTCTCCAGTATAGTCATATACCTTCACATACTTTCTT